CTTGTTAATTGGACAAAAATCGAGCTTTTATAGCACACAAGTAAAAATCTCAGAAAAATGAACAAAAAATTATTTAAAAAGTAACAGATCTTGAATGGTCTCTCAATAAAGTAATAAACGTTAAGAAATAAAATTAAATTAGCAACAACGAATAATGTCCCATCAAGGGGTATTAAATATAAATAAAATGATTGAATTTGGTACTAATATAGTAAAATGCTTTCTCACAAAAGCAATTAATAGTCATTATTTACCGAAAAGCTAATAAAATACATAATTTATTATCAATCTTTTTTCCTATCAAATTATCACTGTAATTATTAACTTAAGTAAGATTCTGTTTTTCATATATTAAAAATTAGCTAAAGGACTTTTTTACCAAACTGAAAATAAATACCTACTAAATGAGAATATAGTTATACAATTGAATATAGAAATTGTATTCTTATTTTGCTTTTGTTATATTACCTGCCATCTCAATCCTTTTCATCCTATAACTTTTTTGCATATAAACTAACTTTTTATTCTTTTAAAATTGCATGTATTTATGGTCTTGTTGGAATAATATTTTATGTGGTCATTACCTACCTTTTATAGGTTTTTAGAATAGTAGTAATGTACCTACACTTTCACATTTAATAAACTATTTATTCAGTTACATGCAATAACTGGTATTACACTTCATATAATTTTCATGTGGTATATTATTATGCATTTTTAATGCCCAATTGTCTTTTATATATCTTTTTTGTATTTGTATTTTAAGGGCAACGGTCAGGGTGTTGCTTTATACAAAGTTCGATAATATTTCCTGCATCTATTTATTATTTGATAGCAACATTTAATTTCCTTATTTGAAGATACTTAGTTGAGTTGAATATTAATAATTATTAAACTGTAATATCACAAAACATTTATCGTTTTTCATCATTTCATGCATACTGAGATTTTATTACTAATATTGTATTGTGTAAAACTTTTGAGCTACTTTGATACGAAATACAAATAAACACAAAACTATCATTGATTCACAGATACAAATTACTGTATAGGACACTTTCCCTTGTGCCTTGTGTAACTTTCTTGTTTCGGGAAAAATAAAACAAAAGCGAAGCGTTTAGTTTCCTGTGAAATTTTATATAAAATAAGTAAACTTTGCAGTTTACAACTAATTTGAAATGTCTACTAAATAACCTCTTTTGTTGAATGTGAAATTAATAACAAAATTAATGGTTTCTTTAAAAAAAAACACAAAATAAAACAAAAAATGGAACTACAGTCTCATTCATCGATTATACTGAAAACATCCCAACTCTGGCCGCGAAAGCTTTTACCAGTTTGTCAAACTGACTAACACTAAATAGCCGCTTTGTATATATTATATTTTTTTCATTAATAAAGTTTAATTTTCCAAAAATTTTTATTCGGGTAGCATTAATTTTCCCCCGCTGGAGCCACATGCGGCATTCCTTATGATACGGTAATATGCCCCTTCCTTGCCCTAGGGGGTAACCTCACGAGGTCCACAAAAGGTAGTTTAGCTCCCCACTTAGGGACCCTACCACCACCTCCCTCAAAATTCTAGTCGGGAAATATTACCTACTCTGCACTTAGGCAGATTAGATTCTGACGCATCTCCAACTGTTAGGTGAAATAAAACATGTTTTACATTAAAAACAGAATAGTCCATATTTCAAGAATTCAGATGTTGATCTCAGTAACAATCAGTGTGACGCCTCTAGGTGACGTGCCTGACAATATCCGTTTCAATATAAAGCTTTTTTATCAACATACAGATAACTAATATGTCAAGTACTAGTAGGTACCTACATCCCGTTCAAATTCGGGATAAACTGTTTCGATAGTACACCCATTTAGTTAATTTCATTCAGTTATTAGATATGTTAATCATCAACTTATGGTCCATGAAAACTTCGCCGATCTTCACGTAAAGGCAAACTTAATTGAACGTACTTTAACGAGCAAATAAACCTGACCTACCTTAGTGAGTTCGGGAAGGGCTGTTTTTGCGCAAGCGTTCCCGGTGGAGAGGGTCCTACACGAGATCCTGCAGCCCCGTTGCTGCCGCGTCAGGATCTCTTGGGAAAGGATTCTCCACGTTGCGTTCGTAATGCGACCATGAATTATTCCTGGCATTATTTATATATCTTCGTTAGATATCTGGGTTTCGGTTGTTTATATATATATTTTTACCACTTAGGATCGATCATTTAATGTTATGTACTCTGCAAAAATTAAAACAAGTAACCAATTTACTGAAACATCCAAATTTTATTATTGTCTTATAATATCTAATAATATTTTAGATTTTCAGTAGGCCATAATCTGATAAGAAATATCAGACTGATAATATTTCTGAAAAGGATTTTAACAACAATTGGCATTAACAACATAAGAACACACACAAAAATTACTCTATATACGTAACAATCCAAAAATAAATTCTTTCAAAAGAATTTTTCTTTCTTTTCTAACTCGAATTTGTAGCATAATTCAACCAATCTCTAAAAATTACGGTTTACATCCCTGTGATTCTGCTATAAATTCTGTACTTTATCTAACTAAATGGTGTAACTTTTCAAAAATTACTCACTCGTCAAAATCTACAGCTTACTTATCCTTGTTAATTGGACAAAAATCGAGCTTTTATAGCACACAAGTAAAAATCTCAGAAAAATGAACAAAAAATTATTTAAAAAGTAACAGATCTTGAATGGTCTCTCAATAAAGTAATAAACGTTAAGAAATAAAATTAAATTAGCAACAACGAATAATGTCCCATCAAGGGGTATTAAATATAAATAAAATGATTGAATTTGGTACTAATATAGTAAAATGCTTTCTCACAAAAGCAATTAATAGTCATTATTTACCGAAAAGCTAATAAAATACATAATTTATTATCAATCTTTTTTCCTATCAAATTATCACTGTAATTATTAACTTAAGTAAGATTCTGTTTTTCATATATTAAAAATTAGCTAAAGGACTTTTTTACCAAACTGAAAATAAATACCTACTAAATGAGAATATAGTTATACAATTGAATATAGAAATTGTATTCTTATTTTGCTTTTGTTATATTACCTGCCATCTCAATCCTTTTCATCCTATAACTTTTTTGCATATAAACTAACTTTTTATTCTTTTAAAATTGCATGTATTTATGGTCTTGTTGGAATAATATTTTATGTGGTCATTACCTACCTTTTATAGGTTTTTAGAATAGTAGTAATGTACCTACACTTTCACATTTAATAAACTATTTATTCAGTTACATGCAATAACTGGTATTACACTTCATATAATTNATATGCCAATTTTTATGCATTTCTAGGCATGTAAATATTTATATAGTCATTCTTAAACAATATTCAAAGGTAAAACTAATGAAAAATACATAATTAACTTTGAACCCCCATATAAAACATTATTTAAATATCTTTATGAATAGGGTAGGTTAGGTTATCGGGTTTTGTTCAAGTGACCACCCTATTTCAATCCTCCACCTCCACCCGCTTGAAAATAATTTTTTTATTGAATTTTATTTGAATTACAGTGTATGAAAATTGTCAAAATAATCGACTTTCAACCCCCATAACTTATTATAGGGGTGAGACCGCGACGAACTTTTTATAGTACAGTGGTGGGGGAGACCTCCCCATTTGATCCCCCCACCCCCATTGGTGGGGGCCATTATCTAGACCTTAACCAAAACAATAAAATTTGAAAAATAATTAGAAAATATTTATTTACATTAGATACACTTTAAGAGATAACAAATATAACATCTGCAATCTGCCGAGATTTTTCAGTACATTTTCTTCGACAAGTATAACAAAAATATTTCTTTACTCGCATTAAAATTACCTGTATAATTCGATATATGTATATACGTAACGTTATATAAAAATAAATAAACTTAAACCTATCAGGGAAGAACTTTATACGGGTTGAGAATTCCATTGGCATCCATTAACTTTTTTATATCTTTCATTAAGGCAATTGCAGGTGGACTTTTTGAATATTTGACGTACTTCGGTTTCTTGAAACCAATTCCGTGTTCAGCGCTAACACTTCCTCTTAGTTTCGATGTATATTCGTAAATAAATGGTTCTATTTTGTTCATGATTTCCTTGCTGTAATTTTTAACTGTAATATTCAGATGAATATTTCCGTCACCTGTGAAATAATTACTCATCAAATTATTAATTGTTACACACAAATAAAATTATGAAAAAATAGGCATCGTTTGAAAAAAATAGGTACAGAAAACGCAGCGTTAAAAGAATTGACCTTGTCTAGCAACTCCTCGTAAAATTAGAGTAAATTTCACACTTAGCTTTAACAAAACCATGTAATATATAGATAACATACCTAAATGTCCATAACCGCATACTCTGACAGCGTCTTTTCCTACCCTTTCTATCATCGCAGGAACTAACGAGTAAAAGTATTGAGTGGGTAATGAAATATCATATTTGAAGACATATCCGTCGTACAGTAAAGCCCCAGTGATGCTTTCTCTGATATCCCATATGGCCTAAAGATTTTTTTTGTCAAAAAGAACAACTGTATTGCATTTCTTTCAAACAAAAGCTTATCGTATAAAAAAATATGTTTTGAGCACGTAAATGGATGGGAAAATCCAGTCGCGTAACTATCGGTTTCCATGTATTCTATGGAATATGGCTCCTCAAGCCAGGAGAAACCTAAGGCTTGAGGACGAAGCCAAAAGGATTGATATTCGGAATTCAATGAATGCATTTACATCTGCAAAAGCTCGAAGGAAGAATTTAAAATGATTATTAAACTTATGCATCTACACTAAGTTTAGAATAAATTTTATGTCTCCTATAAGCTTTGTACTTCCTGGAGTGCCTTTATCTCTCCGAAAGTAATTACGCCACTGGGAAAATCCGCATCCAAACGATGCCGTAGGTATGTAAACAGTAACACAAGGTAAGTTATAGAGACAAAAACTTGACGATATTTAAATGACTTGGGTTAATATTTTAATCAATTATTTATTTAATAGGTAATAATTAGCCCCCTCGATTACGTGTTTGAATATGTTCGATTTGAAAACATCTATGTATGTTGCACAGCTTTCGAGTTTAAATATGTAGCTTTTGTGATCTTTAAGGATAAATGATTCTTTATTCATTTATTAAGTAACTGTGACTCCTGTAGGTTATGTAGTAAACCCCTGCCCTTATTATTTTTCTACTGAAAGCTGCCACCCCATCCAATGAAATTATGTTCCACCGACCCTGGTTCTGAGACTAATTAATGCAATTGCTTGTAAAGCTTTTCCAACAGTATTTCATACAGTCAAAGAAATTTTCTTTTTTAACTCCCTGTCTTCGTGTACGGTGTCCCCTAATTTTGAAAAACTGAATTTCTTAATTAATTCACATCTTACCTTTATTTTACTGGGATCACTAGTAACTGTGCCATCTAACACAGTTCCATCTGACATCACGTTGTCCAAAAAACTATTGAGTTTTTCCTCGTCATGTGTACTATTGCTTCCAGAGGTCTCTATCAACATGTAAAAGGGATGATCTCCAATTGGGTTTTTTAGTTTGGTATTACTCGTTACAACATCCAATGATTTGGCGTCAATCATTTCGCACGATGACAAAATTTCTCCCAATTGATGTTTACATTTTTTCATGGTAGCAAGCAGTTTATCAAAAGACTCGAGACCTTAGAAAAACATTCTTGTTGCAGTTCTGACGATAGATATAGATCGGTTCACTGGCCTTCTTTCCGGTTTGTTTTGCCGTGGTCAATAGAATGTTCCTGTTCTGCACGTTTCGTTGTTTTTTACTGACGGCATCCTCAATGGATGGATCATTGAGTCAAGACTTAGCAGTTCATCCATCGACCACAACAAAACAGTCCAGAAAAAGATGAAGTATAACCAAATGTTCTTGTTTTCGACTGTTATTTTTCACGTCGTCTATTAGATTATACGATCCAATATTAATAATTTTCTAATGTAGCATAAGTTTTTGATGAGTAATCTACCAATATTTTCAGACGTGAATCGCGATTTCAAATTTTTTTCGTTGTCTTCAGCACGCAGTAGACAGTTCCGACTGATTTACTTGTGACCAAAAATTATTCAATAGCAACAATTAAATTGATTGGTGTTCTATCGGAACCATCTACGGCGTGCTGATGAGAACGAAAAGTCCACAAGCCAAGAATTTATGTTCTATTGGATTTACGTTAACATCATATAGACTGCTACACCGTGAGTGCAGTATTACAAGTCGATGTCCTTAGGCCGAAAAGGCCTTTGTCAAGTATTAATGAAGTCACAATTATTTTCTTACCTAAGAATGCAACGTTATATGCTTTTGGTCTAGTGGGACATTGAATTGCAACCTTCGTAATAATTCCTAATGTGCCTTCCGAGCCAATGAACAAGTGTTTTAAATGATATCCAGTATTGTCCTTTCTAAGGGTGCTCAATAAATCTAAAACCTCTCCATTTGCTTTGACCTAATGGAACGTGTACACATATAGAATATAATAAAATAGCAGTGTTTACAGATTGTGTTTTAATTTTCTTTTTAATTAGAGCGTGAATACGAAAAATATTTATATTTTTTTTAAGGAACGTATATCGACCATTTACACATTTTTTTTAATCACCCTGTATATGCTTTCGTACCACTTCAAGGCCAAGCACGCTTCCCTGCAGATTACCGTAGCGCACTAATCGAAGTCCTCCAGCATTTGTGGATACATTTCCGCCGATGTGACAGGAACCCTTCGCTCCCAAGTCTAAGGGCATCATTAGTCCTTGCTTCCCTACTTCCTGATCTAAAACTTCCAGCACGCATCCTGCTTGACAAACTAGCACACCTACAGAGAAACATGAATCAATGGAAAAACATTAGGCTTATTGTTATTTCGAACTTTTATGTTCCCAGGAGCTCACAGGTTTCGAAATAGTGAAATTATTAAATTTCAAGTCTCTATGTTATGGCGACATTTCGGCATTAAATAATCAAAATTTTTAGTAAGGTCTTTAAGATACATAAATCACTTAGTTTTTGGCAACACCAAAACACCACCGACTCTAGCAATTATAAATAATCTGCTGATAAATTATATTCATTGTAGAATCTTGTTTTTATAATATTTAAATTATAAAACTATAAAAAAGAAAATTTAATGCAATAAATGTTACCTGATGCATCATCGATATCAATAATATTGTTCATTAAGGCTGTGGATAAGACCACTTCATCAAATACTGGTACTGATCCCCCAACAAGACCCGTATTTCCACCCTGCGGACACACGGCTAGGTGGTTGTAGTTGCAAAACTTTAAGATTTTGGAAACTTCCTCTGTTGTCTTGGGTTTTAGAACACACTGACTGTAACCTGAAGATATATTAAATATGAATAAATTTCGCGGTTCCTTGCTGAAGGCATCTTCTTTGAACTATGAGAAAAACAGTCTGGAAAAACACTATCGAATCCACAGTATTTTGGATTATCTACTAATCTATGGAAATTCCACAGTCCCTTGCTAAAGGTAATTTCAATGGTGATTTGGAAGGTGCTGAATTCTGACTGATGTCAATCAAAACTGCAAATTCAACGGACTATGAGAAAAACAGTCCGGAAAACACTATCGAATCCAAAATATTTTGGTTTATCCATTTCTGGTAGTCCATGGAATTTGCAGTTCTGACTGACATCAGTCACAATTCAGCACTTTCCAAATCACCACTGAAGATGCCTTCAGCAAGGAACTGCAAAATTCCATGGACCATCACAAAACAACCCGGAAAACAATATCAAATAGATGCACACCTTCCGTGAAAACCTGAAAACTGCAGATATTGGGGTTCGAATTCACAAACTTGACTTATTAGTTGAACCTAAAGCTAAAGAAACTATGTATTTCATTTTTCTCCTTCTGATGTGTAAAAGATCAATACAAAAATGCTTTTTTTATTGATGTTGGTTTTACATCAATAAAGTTATTTACAACCCTATTTTAACGTAAAATTACCAGAAGAATCGATGATGAGCATTGTAACATCAATATACAAAAAAGGAAACAAAGACGAGACAAAAAATTATAGAGGAATTACACTTATGGACACTGAATATAAAATATACGCGGTGATACTAAAAAATCGGCTCGAGACAGAAATGGAAAAGAAAAACCTCATGGATGATACACAAATAGGATACAGGAATAGGAGAGGGACACTGGATGCAGTATAGATAGTACGGATGGCCATTGAGGAAGAAATATATAAAGAAAGAAAAAGGAGAAATCTTCCTATTCTTTACTGATATGAAGGGAGCCTTTGACAGGATAAACAGAAAGAAAATTTGGAATAAATATGAAGTTAAGGAAAAGAATAGAAGAAATATATGAAGTGAGAATCAATGACGAAATTTCTAAAAACATTAGCACGATTAACGGGGTAAGACAAGGATGTCCCTTGAGTACAGCTCTTTTCAACCTAGCTTTTGCGGATCTAGAAAATACAAAGAGAGAAATTCAAATGGGAAAGAAGAAAGTATTAATGGCGAACAATGAAGAGGGGACGACAGAAATGGTGAGAAAAATGGGAATATACATCGCAGAGAGAGGCCTAGAGATAAATCGAAGACAATGAGAAGCAGGAAAAGTGGCGGAAGAATGAAAAAGATAATATTTACATGGGAAGGAAAAGAAATTGAAGAAGGAAAAAAGTACAACTACCTAGGCTGCTTCATACAGAAGAACGACGGAAACGAAGAGCAAATAAGAAACAAAAAGGCAACTGCTATCTTAGGGAAAGTATGAAAAGAACTTCGAGGATAGTTGGAAAAACAAAATGTATTTATTTGAAGTACTGGTACAAAGTATACTGATGACACACACACATCTACAACCCTATTTTGAATCAAAATTTTGACATCAACGTCATGGCCTTTTTTTCAAATTAAAACGGGGGCCATTGGTAAACGATGGAACATACGAGGGTGGATTGATAAGTTTCCGGCCTAACCAAGAGATGACGCCACTAGGCCTACCTTGAGGTGACATTCTATAGTACCATCCTTGGATAGCTTGTAGCTATAGTTTCAGCCCGATCTCCTTGCTAG